CAATATGGACTAACCCAGAGACTGAAAACTGGCAACTGTCTGGAGCAGAGCTGGAATACGGTAAGATTTCTTGAGTCTGTGGTCTGTAGCAACAGTGCCAGACCCTGAAAGCAGATTCTCAATCAAATAATTAAACGCACTGGGCGTCCAATATCTAACTAAAATGTATGCATTTGCCAGACACATTTTTCCAAAGTGAACAGTATATGTTTTCCTGGGAATCAAACCAATCATTTTGGCATTGATTGTGCCAGGCTTGTGTAGCTGAGCTACAGTAGAAACATCAAGCAGCTTGTTAAGGCAATCAGCACTATTACTATTTTAATACGATTAACAACATATTGCAATAAAATTAACAATCTGTCTTAGCCAGAGCTATAGTGCAATGGACTATACACATGACATATGAGAGCTGTGGCCCATGGGAACCCTGGTTTGAGTCTGATCTGGTTCAAGTAGGGGATCATGTTCCACTACTCCACTATCCTATATAATAAAAACAATGAAAGTCAGTGAGACCCAAAGCAGAAGAAAGAAAGCCATACAAGTTTGGAATGACATGAGAGTGAGTAAACTATGAGTTTTCATTTTTGAGTCAAGTCCGGTTTATTATCGTTAACCAAAACTAAAACCATAAAAACATTTTCATAACTTAAAATAAAATATATATTAACTGAAATACACTGAAAAAAAATTATTCATTGAATTTACAAAATGTTTTAAGGTAAGTGGTTGCAATCCATTTATTTTAGCTACATTTAAATAAACAAATTTAGTTGACTAACTTTCAACATTTTTTGTAATTAAAATGTAGCTAAAATAAATTGTTTGCAACCACTTACCTTAATTTTTTTTATTTCAGCTAGTTCAACATGTCTCATTTTCATTCCACATTAGATTCCACATTTCTCATTTTCAAGTATATAGACACACAGAAAAATATATTAAAATGACAAAAATATACACAACAAAACTTTAAATAAAATTAAAATTAAAAATAGAAATACAATCTCATTCAAAATATCAACACAAAATATAATAGTCTATCAAATGATATTAAAATTACACTGTTTTGGGTGAACAATCCCTTTATATACATACATTTATAATGTTCATTTACACTATGACTCTGGGTCACTACATGGTCAAATTGTACTCCTGACAAAGAGCGATGACACTCTGCTGTAATGTTTGCAAGGTCGAATGTGCACACTGTTGCAAGCGCTCCAGGTACACAAACAGTGCGAGGAAAATTAATGGCTTGTCCTAAGGGTTTAATTTCACATGGAGAACAGATTACACTCTGCTCTTCCCGTTCTTTGCTTTTCCCATACAGTCTGTTTGACAGAACTCTGAGCTATAGTGGAGCTATCCTTGGAGAGATTACAGGTTTTACCTAGATTTTACGGGCTGTTGAGGTCACTGCAACTGGAAACAGGATGGAACAACAAATGCTTGAGATGCCTTCATATGATCTGTGTAAAACAGACAGGAACAACAGTTGATTCATTGTGAAAATATGAACACAAATCATTGCTAACAGGCTAAGCAACCGCATATGAAAACCAGAGCATGTATAACTTCATTTAATCATAAGTAAATATTTTGCTCTGGTACAGTGGCATTTAAACGTAAATAAAACACTTTCTATTACTTTTTATGGTGTGTTGCCTTAGTGTGGGTAGATTTCAGACATTTTTTTTTTAAATATACAGGTAGCTACTCATGCTGTGTGTAAGTGATGCAGTAGTGTGCCAAAAAACTATGGCACATTTGATCTGAAGCATTGCTCAGGCAATTTATTTTTATAAAGACAAACTAAATGGCTAGTTTTAATACTGTTCTCAGCTATTCAACATGTGCCAAGGCACTGGGCTGTTTCATGGCTCATTTACCAGTAGCCTTTGCTCTTTACTTGGTAGCAGGGCCAATCATATTATCAAGCCTTTTACTAGCAAGCGGTTCCATAAAAATAAAGCTTGCAGTGTTGTGTATTAAATGCTCCTAGCATTATTAAGAATGAAAATATGGCTCCGTTTGGAAAGTAGAGGAGATTGCTAATCAAAGCAGTCTATTTGGATCTAGTTTGTGTCATTTTTATTGCTTGTTTAATGCTTCTGTCCTTAAATTTAAATTTGATGACATATATTACCTTTCCCCTTCAAGTTTACAATAAAGACTTCACATTCGGGAACAAGAGCGGCTGTGTATTAGACTGAAAGAGGACTGTGAGTTCATGGGTGAGGTTTGAGCAAAACACATTTGGCATTCTGTAGGGGTCTGTGTCCACATACACTTTGATTGTTGGCATATATAGACTGAGAGCATATATCTTCCTTTCTGTGACATTAATATTATACTTTATATGTTACTGAGCAGTTGGTGTGTTGAAATATACTGAGCTCAGTATGCAGTGTTATACACCAATGAAAAAGGTAATTTTAACCTTCTTAATCATTTTAGTTATTAAAGCAATATGGCAGAGTGCTTGATGGCCATGTATGCACGGCTATGTGATTCAGCTTTAAGTAGGTGTGTTGTTTTGTCCCTGAATGTTTCTGTGATTGATCAAATCAGTGGAATAATAAATTCAATGATTCATTCAGACAAGTCAACTCAGTCAGTTGTTTTGTTCCTGAATAAATAGGTGCTGCTGAATGAATCAGATGAGTTAAAAGTTAAATGACTCGCTCATTAAAAAATTCAGTTGAACTGATAAATGCTGCTAGACCAATCAGATTCAATGACCAGAAATAATAATACAATAAAATCTTAATCTTAAAAAATAAGTTTGAAACATCTGCAAACGGTAGTGGACACCACTCTTCACAGGGTTAATTTAATGGCTTTTGTCCATTTCTATTTTCAACTTCTGCATCTACTCTCTTCTATCAAACCTAATAACAGGGGACTGTGGGTTCTGGACACCATTCCTGCAATTTCCAATTACAGTTCTGTAGAACTGAAGGAACATTGCCAGTGTCTCCTTGTATCAGGATCTGGATGTTGGATGAATTTTAGCTTCCAATCCTCATATCCTTCATTTTTGTTGTCTGCTTTTTGGTTATTTAGATTATGTTGTCGTAAAAGAAATATGATTCTCCAATGTCTGGTTTAATTGTTTTAATTTATGCCCCAGCTCAATCTGTGTCTGTAGAACTCCTCAAAATATTCCAAAAAATGTGGTCATCATTTACAAAGTTGTACACATCCTACACCCCCTTGCATGTTCGTTATTTAATCCTTTTGAATATTAAGTTTTAGATTTTGATAGCCATTTCTCACAGTTCCACAGATTTCCCCCATATCAATGCAGAAAATGTGTGAAAAGTCTGCTGATTCTATCTCAGCCTGGTATACTGTATGTCTAATACTGGTATAAAGATGTAAAGTGTTATGGTTTCTAAGTTTAATTACATGTTTCCGAGATTCTCATCATTTAAAGGGGTTTGTTTATATGATGTGATGATCTTTTGTAGCTGTTTACGCAAATGGATTTAATTACAGACTGATGCACTGTATTAAGACCCACATGTGTCAGGAAACGAGCATGAAGGGGAATAGAGGATTGTGGGCTGGGGAAAAGCCTTAAGCATATGCTGCTTACATTGAGGCATCTGATAATAAAGTAAAACACAAAAGTAACAGGTAAAAAAGATCCTGGGCTTTTAAGCAGAAAATTGCAGTAAAAAGAGCCAGATGTGGATCATTCCATACATTCAGATGTTATCAAATCAGTTGAGACTAGAAAGTAACTTTGCCTTTGGAATGGAATGTGTGCTCTAGACCTACTTTTAAACTTTTAAACCAAGTGATAAACTAAAATAATTGAGTTTCACTTTTACAAGAGGCATAATTATCAGAGACGTAATGTAACTAGATAAACAACTGCTGAGATGAATTTGGGGGTTTAATATTTTAACCTGCATCAGGTATAATGGTATATATAATGGTAATTATTACAGTATCTTTCAGGGTGAGTTATTCCACAATCACATACCCCCTGGATTCTGCTCAGCAGCTGCCAGTTACATCATCCGAGTTTGGGGCTGTTTTAAGGGACAGAGCCAAACATGTGTTGAGTATACATGTCAGGGGCCTACGTGTGATTCTGATTTCGCATTACACAGCTCCATCTCAATTGTTAAGACTGTTTAGTTCAAGTGTTTTACCTATTATCCTTAATGCTTAAGATTAAACATTATGTTACTAATTAAGTTATTATTAACTAATTAAGTTCTGTGACTGGTTAGTCAAAAATATGTGATGTTTTATTCAAATGTGATGACAAAAATGTCTTGTATTAGTCTGAACAGGCTGAACAAAAATTCTGATAGTAAAATCTGTGTTATAACATATAATATGATGAAGTGATCCTAATTCTGTTTAGATTTGCATTAAATCTATTTTCTGAATGAAATATGACCCCTTCACAGATTACCAGATTTACTGCTTTTCATGATATTTCTGTGGGTTGCCAGTCGTTGTATATTTGTGTGTTATCTATCAATCCATAAAAACTATTTTAAAAATTAAAACTTCTTATGTTCAACAATTTAAGCGACTGCCGAATGTATATATGCAACAAAGGATATTTTCAATGTTTGTTTTTTGTACCATTCTATTTAGTTTCTTTTCGCCATTTGTTGCCTTTAGCTTGCTTTTCAGGCACTATTTTCTTTAAAACTACTTAGAAACGATATTTACTGAAAATGTTTCTCTTCAGGTAGGGGGAAATATACACAGCCAACTTTTAATACAAACTATTTTCCAGATAATATTTAAAGAATTTTGTTTGGCTTTAGAGCAGTGAAAACGACCATTTTGATAATTTTATAAACAACATGTTTTCTTTATAATATCACATTTGCTATATTTATTATTCATAAATATTGCTACCTTTATATTTATGAAACGGGTCTTGAAAGGATTTGCCTGTTTTAAATGTACGGTTCACTCTGATTGCAAGAGTAGATCTCTGCGCACTGGCACCCCTCAGCTGCATGGGTTGGTCCTGTGCGCTCGTCAGAGGATACGGAGGCTGCTGTGCTGTTATTTTCTGACATGTCTGGGAAAGCTTCCAGTGATAAGGAGCCGCACAGAGAGTTTACCAAACTTTTGGAAGTATTTCTGACTTTTTTCTCGACATGCGTTGTGTTGAAGTGGCGCGTATCAAGCTTCAAGAGACTGACTGAGGACCGGAGCTTTACTTCTTGGCATCTATTTGCAGCTGATTAAGGGATTATATGCATTTTAATACAGGAATGACGAGATGAGGAAATCTGGCGCTGGGGTAGCAGTAAATACTTATTTGCATTGATTCAGCCAGATCGCGCGCTGCATGTTCAAGAAATGTTTCCTAAACGCACTTACAGGTAAAACCAAGGTCGATCTAACTTGACCGATTTTGTCTTTTTTTAAAAGAAAATTATTTTCTTTGTTTGTTAAGTACCCAAAATGGTTTTAAATAACTTTTGCCTTGTTTTGCACTGAGCATCAGAATTATAAACACTTCTAGAAAATAAATTGAATCTTATGACGCTTTACCGGATTGTATCTCTCTACTGACTTAAGTGTTACTAAAGTTGTCTAACATGAGGGGAAGGTACATGCTTGGTTTCGGTGTTTTGTGTCTGTTGACATGGGCTGTTTACGTGTCAGAGAGCAGCCCGACCGATAAACAAGCCAAACTCAGATTGATTTCCATAAGACGAGCAAGACAAAACAAATCACGACAGGGTCCGATCATCAAAACACGTTCTCCTTCATGGATCAATGATAGACGCCAACAGATGCAGGGAGATGAAGATATAAACGTTACCAGGCACGTCCAATCCAGAAAGGTCTTGGCACAAAGGAGACCAGCACAGGGTAAGTCTAGGAACCCAATCCAGCAGGATGATGGAACACCTGAAGCCAGGGCCAGAGTTTCCCGCATGCCAAGCAGCGCTGGTTCTCCAAACTTACTGGCGTCATTTGCAGGGAAAAACCGCCTGCTGGTTATTTCCGCACCTCACGACTCTGATGGTTACTACAGATTGATGATGAGTCTTCTCAAACCTGATGTTTACTGCGAATTGGCAGAGCGGCACGTGCATCAGATTGTCATGTTTCACCAGGAAGGGGAATTGGGTGGGAAAATCAGACGCATTACTAACGAAGGCAAGGTGATGGAAGAGCCGTTAGATACGTCTATTATTCCCAGGCTCATGAACTTTCTTAAATTAGAAAAAGGAAAGTTTGGGATGGTCCTTCTTAAGAAGACGCTTCAGGTAGAAGAGCGCTACCCATACCCTGTCAGACTGGAAGCGATGTACGAAGTTATCGACCAGTCGCCCATTCGCAAAATGGAGAAAGTCAGGCAGAAAGGCTTTGTCCAGAAGTGTAAAGGGGCTGGGGTGGAGGGGCAGGTGGTCGAGGGTGTCCCCAGCATAGACCCCCAAGTGGACCCACCAATGGGGAGGAGAAAAGAGGTGCGGAAACCCATTCGAAGACCGGCTACAACAACTACTCCAACTCCAACAAGACCAACGACCACTACCAAAGCAACTACCACCACCACCACACGTCCCCCAACTACAACCCGTTCCACCACTACAACGACGGCAACAACGCAGCCGACCACAACCACAACACAGACCACCACCACTCCAAGGACTACGAGAGCTCATACTACCCCACAATGGATTCCAGCCCACAAGACCACCACTGAGCTTTACTATTACAACCGTAGAGACAGACACCAGACAACCTCACCCACAACACTTCCCGTCTACACCAAAGCTAACACAGCAAAATACAGGGACAACCACACAGATAAAAAAGAAAACAACCACAAGCATACCAGCATTATACCTACACAACACAAGCCACCTAAAGTTAAGCCTACAAAGAAAAACAATGGCGATAAGGAAATTAGCAATGCATACGAAGAGAAATATGATGTAGGTGAGCCCACCGACATCTATCCTGAAGAGAAGGAGGAAGAAATTGTGCCTGTCAAGAAAGGCAAGGGCAGGGCAGATAAAAAGAAGAAGAAGGACAAGACAGAGAGGAGGGGTAAGGATGGAAAGGGTGGTAAAAAAAATGGAAAGAAAGAATCAAAAATCCATGAGAAAGAAGAGTATCAGAAACCAACAAAAAGACAACCACCACCCCCTCCGCCACCTAAAGGAACTCTGGCAACCTTTCTGGACTATTTTGAAAGCAAAAGGAGACTAATTGTGAGTAGCTTTGTAAGTAGTCTGATTAAGAAATGTGGATTTCTGTAATGTGTTATTTACTGTTCTTCTGTTTCAAACCCTTTACTTCAGTTGATCACCTCTCCAACAGAGGAGAACACCATGTATGCCGCCTGCTGGTTATTTCCGCACCTCACGACTCTGATGGTTACTACAGATTGATGATGAGTCTTCTCAAACCTGATGTTTACTGCGAATTGGCAGAGCGGCACGTGCATCAGATTGTCATGTTTCACCAGGAAGGGGAATTGGGTGGGAAAATCAGACGCATTACTAACGAAGGCAAGGTGATGGAAGAGCCGTTAGATACGTCTATTATTCCCAGGCTCATGAACTTTCTTAAATTAGAAAAAGGAAAGTTTGGGATGGTCCTTCTTAAGAAGACGCTTCAGGTAGAAGAGCGCTACCCATACCCTGTCAGACTGGAAGCGATGTACGAAGTTATCGACCAGTCGCCCATTCGCAAAATGGAGAAAGTCAGGCAGAAAGGCTTTGTCCAGAAGTGTAAAGGGGCTGGGGTGGAGGGGCAGGTGGTCGAGGGTGTCCCCAGCATAGACCCCCAAGTGGACCCACCAATGGGGAGGAGAAAAGAGGTGCGGAAACCCATTCGAAGACCGGCTACAACAACTACTCCAACTCCAACAAGACCAACGACCACTACCAAAGCAACTACCACCACCACCACACGTCCCCCAACTACAACCCGATCCACCACTACAACGACGGCAACAACGCAGCCGACCACAACCACAACACAGACCACCACCACTCCAAGGACTACGAGAGCTCATACTACCCCACAATGGATTCCAGCCCACAAGACCACCACTGAGCTTTACTATTACAACCGTAGAGACAGACACCAGACAACCTCACCCACAACACTTCCCGTCTACACCAAAGCTAACACAGCAAAATACAGGGACAACCACACAGATAAAAAAGAAAACAACCACAAGCATACCAGCATTATACCTACACAACACAAGCCACCTAAAGTTAAACCTACAAAGAAAAACAATGGCGATAAGGAAATTAGCAATGCATACGAAGAGAAATATGATGTAGGTGAGCCCACCGACATCTATCCTGAAGAGAAGGAGGAAGAAATTGTGCCTGTCAAGAAAGGCAAGGGCAGGGCAGATAAAAAGAAGAAGAAGGACAAGACAGAGAGGAGGGGTAAGGATGGAAAGGGTGGTAAAAAAAATGGAAAGAAAGAATCAAAGATCCATGAGAAAGAAGAGTATCAGAAACCAACAAAAAGACAACCACCACCCCCTCCGCCACCTAAAGGAACTCTGGCAACCTTTTTGGACTATTTTGAAAGCAAAAGGAGACTAATTGTGAGTAGCTTTGTAAGTAGTCTGATTAAGAAATGTGGATTTCTGTAATGTGTTATTTACTGTTCTTCTGTTTCAAACCCTTTACTTCAGTTGATCACCTCTCCAACAGAGGAGAACACCATGTATGTTCAGCAAAGGGATGAATACTTGGAACATGTGTGTGAGATGGCCATCAGGAAGGTCTCCATCATCACCATCTTCGGCACGCTTACAAACAGCACCATGAAAATAGATCATTACCAACTTGGTAAGCCACATTCGTCTTGTTGGAAACAATATATATGTGCAGTATATCAAATATATACTATATAATAACCACCAAAAAAGCATTAAAAAACTTTAAAATTGATAGGGGAATGTGTTTTCGTCACTGCCTGCTTTTTCCTGTTTGACATGGAACTTTGAATGATTAGGCTGAAGATGGATATGATAAACACAAGCCATTTTCCTATGCTGGAGATTAAGGGTTTTTAATGTGCCAAAACAAAAAACGCCTTTTATCCAACAGTTGGCACTCACTTGTAAGTTAGGGAAGCACTTTTCCAGATTATGACCTCATATGACACAGAACCTCACAGCAAAGGAACTTGAAGTTTGGTCTGGGAATGGAGTGAATGGTACTTGTTCAAGTGTCACGGAATGCTGCTAGATGAATCAAATGGAAGAGTGCAGAAAGTCTGCCCTGGGACGTTATTCTCTCTAGTTCATTATCCAAGACATGGGAAAATGTCTGTTTCCTTTGTAGCTGATATTCTGACTGGAGAGTTTTAGCTCAGAAACAGCAGTCAGTTCTTGACAGATCAGACAGTTTTGCAGGGTGGGTAGATTGGTAAAGCATACAATAATATACATTCTTACAATTTCTTCATTGTCAGTGTTGTTGTGGAACTGCTCCAAAAGCAGGGAAGCCCATGGCTTGAATTCAAAAACATTGTATCGTTGGAGTCATTCAAATAGCTTACTCCCTCAGACATGCTAAGATAATTAAGACCAGATTTTTACCTGAAATTTAGCTTTGAATGCTTCCTACCTATCTGGTTTTTACCAGGGTTGTGTGCCATTTGGAATTAAGAATGCCATTTAAAGAGGTTTAAAGGCCTTACAGATACACTATATGGACAAAAGTATTGGGACACCCCCTTCCAATGAACAGGTTTGACTACTTTAGTAATTTCCATGAGTACAAATGTTAAAGCATATAATGATATTCTAGGGAATTGTGTGCTTCTAATTTTATAGCAACAGTTTGGACAGGACCCTTTTCTATTCTAACATGACAATGCCTCTGTGTATAAGGCAAGGTTCAAAAAGAAATGATTGATTCACTCACTCAGTGTGGAAGAACTTGACTGGTCTGCAGAAAGCCAAGTCCTAATCCCAGCTGAACACCTCTGGTGTGACAGAAAAGAGTGTGAAAGAAGGGGGCGTCCCAATACTTTTGTCCATATAGTTTATGTAAAAAAAGTCATTGATGTTTGGTGATGAGTTTTTGGCTCAAGGTCTGCATTTACATATACATACACTGACTGAATCAATCTTTTTTTTTTTAACCTTGTCTTGTACACAGAAGCATTGACATGTTAGGATCGAAAAGGGTCCTGTCCAAACTGTTGCTATAAAACTTTTTAACTTTTTAAACTTTTAATAAAAAGCACACAATTCCCTAGAATATCATTGTATGCTTAAACATTAAGATTTGTCAAACCTGTTCATTAGAGGGTGGTGTCCCAATACTTGCTTCATATAGTGTAGCTAGATAGACAGATAGTTCCAACTCAACTTATCAGTTGAAAGCAAGCTAATTCTTTAATTCAAAATTTTGCGCAACCCTGGTTGTTACTGTTGTTAATTTACCAGACGTCACACAGTTAGATTTTAGAAGCGTTAAGACAAAATGCTGTGAAAGGGTTTAACATCATCCAGACTACCACTGAATGAGTCCGTGGCAGTGCTTTGACTTTTATTCCATATACTCATCAGTCTGGTCTGTGTCACATAGCTCTCTGCGAGGGGTCCCTTTCACTGCCGCAGGATG